CCCCCCCCACACACACACACACACACATTAAGGATCGTGTATTGACATAAAACTGTTGTCGGAATCATACTGAATTTCACCAGAGAAACACACGCACATATCGAGAGAGAGAGAGAGTATGCATTGTATGCAAACAGCTACCAAACAGCCATCATAATTCATCATACAATGAGAACAGGACAAATTGACAATGACTAATTAATATTAAAACCTGTAACATAATGTGTTGTTTGGAGTTTAGTCTGTTACTGTTATTATTTTTACCATTTCTTCTTGGAGCAACTGTAATCCACATTATTTCCTTAGGGATTAATAAAGTATTCTGATTGTTTCAGGATGACCTGCCATTATCCAATGACACATCTGCTTACCTGTATCTTTTGCTCGTTCCTCCTTTTCTTCTTTTCTATTTTTTCTAAACTGAGCACCTGATGGCTTTGAACTTTTCTTGTCCATCTTCCATTGGTTTTAATTTTGCACTCCAGTATGAACACAAATCCCCCATATCGAGGATCATCACAATTAACCTAATAGACCTATACGTTAGTTCACAGATTGACTTTGTCTAAGGTGTATTTCTGGGATTTCACACAACCCAGGATTCAAATCATGAATACATAATGGGCTTGGATTTACAACATTATGAATGAAATGTGCTCTACTTGGAAGCAGCAGGGCCCCTCCCCTTTCGACGGGTTGTGTGTGAGACTTTAAATCATCAAACTGTAAAATATAAATTTTAAATTGTTATTGATCCCTTTACCCTGAGTCCTAAAGTGTATATTTATTTTCTTACTCTTCTTATATATATTGTTTGTTTACTTGCACTGCTGTAACTGAAGCCTACTGTACTGTATGTAGCGGAGATGACAAAGTTTTACTTTGACTTCAGCAGCGAGCAGGCGCACCGAGGGCTCTCGCGCTCACTGTTCACGTACAGAATTTCGAAAAAACATTGGTGCAAATTATAAGTCTGTATCATAATGTCTGGTGTTTTCGTGTTTGTTGGGTTGTTTTTATTTTGCGAGTTGGTTATTAGATGCTGCTCCAGCCAGCCAGAGAATCCCCCGCCGCCCCGCCCTCTCCTCCCTGTGCCGCAAGCACCAGGCGCACCTCGCAAACGGAGGGTGCCCTTACTCCCAGCAAATGGGAATAAGGGCATGGGTGCCTATGCCATTCCTAATATGCGCTGGCATGACGTCGGGGCAGCATGAATACGAGCAATGATCTGGCAAACAGATTTACATTTGTTTTTTTTCAGTGAGTCTGACATATCAAATGACAAATCGACTATAGTGCTCGCAGTCACACCTAATGAAATTCAATCCAATCCAAATAAAACCAAACTACCCAGACAGCAACACTGTTACACTTGCCATTATTTCAATTTATATAATTTATAGGGCATGGAATAAAAGGGCATCATCTCACAACAATGTGCTTTAAAAGCTCTAAAGTTTGTCCCTATTACTTGAATAGAACATAAAAGTTCATTTCGCCTGAATTTGGAAGCTTGTTCCCCAGATTTGCCTTTAAAAGGTCGACTTAACACCTAATATTTACGTTTTTCTAACTGTTGGCTGTGAATCTGGTTACTCTAGCTTTGGATGGTGCTCTTCAAAGAACAGCATCAATGGGCTATGACAGCCTCTAGCTAGCTTTAAGCCTCAGCTGGCTTCCAAACACGCACAATATACAGCATAGCCTCAGCTAGCTCAACTTGTCCCAGCAGCTAATCCAAGGCTGAGCAGTGTCCCCAAGGTTCAGAGGGACACACAAGCTGTCAGACTCAATGCAAATCACACACGCCGACACTGACTGAATGTTACTAACACAACAATGGATTCTGGCCAGCACATCCCAGTTACCATCAACTAAATGAGAAAATGTGTCTAAACTAAAACATGACTCATAAACATGATGTGGGGAAGCTCACCTGTTTTAAGGGGCGAGGATGAGCCTGAAACCTTCTCCTGCCAACTGTACTTCTTACCAAGGGAGTTGTTGTTTAACGTGTCCTGAAAAAAGAAGAAGAGGAAGGAAGTTGAGAGAAGGAACAACAGATGGATAAAAGAGGAACAGAGATGGGTTTGCTCACTGAATTCTGGATCCTGACACAACATATACAACTTCTCTGTGTGTGAGTGTGTGTGTCTCTCTCTTCTCTCTCATTTTACATACACACATGCACACACAAACCTTTTATTCTGTTGAATGAGCAGGAACTCTTTTGTCCATGCTCCGTGGTGTGCATTTAAAGGGACCTGACATTTACACAAGCCACTGGGAAACACACTCACGCAGTCAGACAGCCTCTTTAGGCTGTTTTGGGGGGTAATTGCTGATTGAAGTCATGAAACTTGTGAGGTTTCCTTTCTTTCTATACATTTCTAAATATGGAAATCAAGAAAGAATAAAAGCAAAATCAACCTTGTTACAAAAATCTATAGAACATCTTTGTGGTATCTATATGACACTTTCATTTATAAGTACAGAAAAAGAGAGGTTGCTGATCATTGTCACTGATGAAAGGAGTCATTTAAAGAGCAGCTTATCAGTGATTGGTGAACAGATCATAAAGGGTGTGGCTGCTCACAGTGACATCTCTGCTGAGTGCAATTAAATACAACTCAGTGCATCCAGTCCACACCCACAATCAGTCACAACACAGTGACTGAAACACTTCTCAGCATGATATTAAAGTTGTTCTTAAGCCATGTTTTAATCTCTTTTTAAAATATATGTATAAAAATGCAGCAACCAATAAACTAATTGATCATGGCATCTAGAATAGGCCGAAGAAGCCAGCAGTGTTTCCAGAAAATTTGGCATTTAGCCACCAAATAGGTTTTAAAAGGAATTATTCAAAACCTGCCAAACACGCTTATGAATCTAATCATTATCACGACTGATATATTTTGTGACTCAGTGGCTTATTTTAACGGCTTCCACAGAAAGACTATGGTTTAACACTCAGTTGTAGATAACAGAAGAGTTAAACAGAGATTTTAACAGATGGAGAGCTGGAAACTCCTGTGACGACAGCACGCACAAAATAACATCTTTTCCTCCTCCGTCCACCCACTACGTGTGACTCACTTTTCCATCTACGTGTACCAGGCGGAGACAGGGCTGTTGCCATGGTAAAGAGTGAATCAGCAGGTAGGAAACAACTGCATATATCTGAGGAGTCAGATAGAGTCCATGACTAAAATCTGTGTGAATTTGATACAACAGAACACAAGCTTGCCAAGTTGAAGTGTTTGGAGACCTCAGAAGCTGAATGAATGAGATGGGGCGCCTTAATTGACAGCTGTCTCAGCCTATCACAGCTGCATCTTGTGTCACCCTGCCATATTTGGATTTTCTGCATGAATTTCATTGCAAATTGAGCTAGCTATTAAAACCAGGTCAGCTTGAAACTTTATAAATCAATTTTAAATGACAACATGCTACTTGTTCTTGCTGGTATCTAAGCAGACCTTCCTTATAGTCACACTGCCACACAAACACACATGCACTTCAACATATGGAGCATGCCCGATAAGTAATTAGAGTTAGATTAATCCTTTCTCGGAGGGACATCTGTCTCTCTGCCCACTGAATCACTTCAATTGGGAAGCAAAAGTGGAGACAGTCTGTAAAGCAGCACCCTCCTCAGTACTGCAAAAGATTTATTATACTGTGCATCTTTGACTACTCGATATTTCAAATACTATAACAACTAAAAGGTGGACAGAATCAGAACTGGTTATTCATTTTAAAATGGGTAAAGAAAACTAATTTTACCTCATTTATTTGACCACTGCACAAGGAAAAAGGTTTTTAATGATGAAATTCAACCTCTTAACAGTCTGACTCGATGTGGCACTATTGACATTACTGGATTAAAAAATACTGCTTTTGAAAAAACCCTCAGTGTGTTAACGCTGATCAGAGATGCTTTTGTTCAGACATGGGACTCGCTGCAAAACGATGCAGAGCAAATATGCCGTATACTTTTGCATTTCTGCACACTCATTGACCTGGAAACAGTCGCCCAGTGTACACAACCTACGCCTCTTCTAACAATTCAAGGTCTGAGAAAAAATATTAATGACTGGAAATCATCCTAAATCTTCTGTCTCATTCCTGCTGTGTAAGGATGCACACTGTGAAAGTCTTCACTGTCACCTCTGCCTCAACTGATTTAGCCATGCTGTCTCAATAACAGAACCATACTTTAATAAATCTACTTCAGCGATGACAGATCAGTTATTTTTTTTATAATGCCATGTGATCTTCTCAATCTATCAATTTTGATGGTATTTCAGACACAGATTTTGTTTTGTGTTTCGTTTTACTAAAACATAATATTACCCCGATTTCCTTGATCACACCTGATGATATTTTTTATGACCAAAAAGTATTTAAAATAATAAGTATTTAAGTAAAAACGCGACACCCGCAACTGCTAATGAATTTATCTGGTATAAAATGCAGCCTGTTGATCTGTGTCTTCACTTTCATTGCATGTATTAAACTTTTTAAAGAAACCTCAACAGTAAAGTATTTCAGCACTGGTTTAGATGTTTTTTTTCTAGTTGCTGTATAAAAGGTAAAAATGAACAGTGCTGGAATAGACAAGAAGATTTCCCCAGTTGAAACATAACTGAGACCAATTACTTCCTTTATACTTTTCAGTTTTGACAGCTCAAACAACCTACAGGAACAAAGCGGAGCACTGAGCAGAGCAGACTTTGCTTCCAGATCAAGTGCAAAGCAAAGGCAAATAGGCTGTAGACGCTTGGCTGATCACGCTGACTGCCTGCACTCAAGGAGGCCAAACTCAATCACTGTATACATTACTATGTAGATAGAGGTAGTTCTACACTTCAGTGAATCAAAGGAAATATTTCTAGAATTCAAATGTAAACATGAATAAAATGATTTAATTTGTTTTCTTGAATGACATGGTTTTGCCTTTTTTCTCTCAAGTTAATTCCATCACATTAACAAGTCATGGCAACAAATCCTTTATTATCTGAATTAACAGTGTAATGTATCATGTAACATTATTTCTGACTCTTTAGCCCATTTTATAGTATTTTGTTCGGTTATAAGGCAAAGTAACTGTATTGTTCATCCAACCATATTCTCTGAAGCTCTTTTCACCTAACAAGTTCTAATCCACTCACTACATGCTACTTTTCCTTCCCAGAACTGAAAGAAACATCAGTGACGCTTGTGCAGGTGTTGAAACATCTCCTGGAGCTAGCTAAAGGTTTTGATTTTGTGCACATTAGATGTGTTTAATTTGAACTTGGACACTGTCCTCAAGTCAAGAAGATCAACGTATTAGCAAGAGGCTATAATGATGAATGTCCTGGCCTAGTAATCATTACGGATATAAAGGAGGGAGTCAAGAAAACAATAAGATGAGGACCTCAACTTCAAGTAACTCAATAAGTAATTATTAACAAACTACAAACACTATCTGAACCAAATCAGTTCATACTTTAACCATGACAACCAAGGCTTTTATAACCTTTTGATCCAAGTCATAATGTTTTCCTTATCTGAACAAAGTACTTCAGCCCTCATCACTATCTTTCACTCTGATGTCTACCACCTACTCAAACCATAACTATACCACTGTCATTATCAAAACTTAATTAGCAGATTGTAATGCTCAATTTTTAATTCATAGGGTTTACTGAACAAAAAAAGAAAAATCTAAATGTGTGCTCTATAGTGCAAATCCATTTTTTAAACACACCTTCACTGTCGCAGTAAACCCGAACATGGTTGTACACATTTGTATGGCTACACCGCTGCTCTTTATCGATACTTTACATTTTTTAGTTCCCATTCCAAAACTAAAGCCTAAAACTACCCTAAAATGTCTTCCTTCTTAGTGCTGGTCCTCACTTAGATTGATTTACATGGACACACACACACAGACACACACAGACACGAATGGTCACGAGCTCAAGCGCCATTGAAGCAAACAGAGACGGGCACCAATAGAAAAAAAGAAATGACAGTTGAGGCTATTGTTCAGTGGAGAAAACACATCCTGTCAGAGAAGCAATTGTAGTGAATCCAGTGGTGATGTCAAGTAGGTTATCCAGTTATATTTACAATTTCAAACATAATATTTGTGTGAGAAGAGGCTCCAATATAGGTGGAGTGAAAAAACACTGAAAGAAAAACACTGAAACATTCCCACAGTCCTCCAGAATTACTCATCAATATTTGTCCACCTGCCACAAACTGTTTAACTGTGTGAGTGAATGTGTGTGTGTGTGAGAGAGCGAGAGGATAAGGTTAATTCAGGCTATACCTGTGTGCGTGGCACGATTGGGAAGAGGTTAAGGGTCGTGGGTCTCTTGGGCCGGTAAGTATCCATGGTAACAGGTGCTGCAGGGTCCTTGGTGACTGGCGGAGTTGAAATTGCAGACGCCTTCGAGGATTCTTTGTCACCGCGGTAACCGTCAGCACCATCGATGAGGTCCAAATGCAGCATCTCTGCCTGAAGCTGGCCGACTGCTCCTAGCTCCGCCTTCCCCGACATGCTATTGGTTCCTCGTCTCACACGGCTCTGCGGGGATTGGAATAAGCCCGACATCAGTCAAGACAGGGAAGAGAGAGAGAGAGGAAGACAGTGAGAGAGTGTGTATGTGGATGGGATGAGGAGATTTAGCTGGCCAATTGGAAGCAACTCTGTCTTCAACAGGAACACATTCACTGCCAACACACAGTGCCGTTTAAAGCTGAGACGGACTATTTCTAGCATCAAGCTTTTCTACCTGACAGAATTTACCTGCAGTAATGAGGTTAGAGTAAAAACTCAATCTGCTCTGCTATTTCTCATTTTATCTTTCTACTTTTAAAGCTTAGAAACCTATTCTATTAAGAAAATTAGTACAAAAAATTTCAAAACAAATTCATGATATTGACCCTGGAAACAGGAAATTGTTAAAAATATTCACGCCCCCAAAAAGAAACAGATATAATACCTCTGGCCTTTCGTGCAGCACTGCAATTGAATCAATTTGTTAATTGCTTTGATGATGAAACCTCTCAAAATCGATGACTCCGTAAGGCTAAACAATCAATTCATAAAACAAGAGTTGGAAAATTAGGCACATTTATTTACTCTAACGCTAATCATACACAGTGTGCAAGATATGAGTTTGTTGGCAAAAAAAGAAGAAGAGATTCACTGCTGCTGAAACAACACACAAGCAAAGCATTTGAGAGACAGTAAGTCAGAGGGCACTGGGACAGTACAGTCTGCTTCACTTATCATCACTATCCCTGCAGCTACACATACAAAACAGACACACACACACAGCACATGGTAAGTCGTTGTTAAGCCTATTATAGTCTTTAGTGCTCTCTGTTTGCCTCACATACAGAAAAACCTGTAAAAAAACAAATGCAAATAAAACAAGAACATGAACAATGGTGAGCAACTGTTTTGGAGGTCTGCCACCTTCTACAGCACAATCAGAAAAAAAAAGTTATTTAGAGTTATTTAAAGTTATAAATCTAAAATAATCTATTTCGTTTTTACAATTTGAGAGACATGAGCAAAAAAACAAAAAAAAAACAAAAACAGTATAGTTGCTCTAGAACTAAAACCTAATTAAACTTAATGCTATAACATTTATTTTTGATACTGAGTAATATAGTATTATCAAACCTTTATTTATATATTCATTTTTGTTTGTTCATTTGTTTTGTCAGTTTTAGCATCTATAAAATTTAGTTTGGATCCAAGTCATATTCTTTTTAAACATCTGTGCTAGTCCTGATTAAAGTTAACAGTGTTTTCTCTAGGCTGACTGTGGGGTGAGGCTGCAGTATTGGATCGCCCCCTCAAGGCTATGGTAGGAGAAACACTGGTGTAATTCTCAGCTGCCATACAAAACACAGTCACCTTAAACTATTTTAGGAAACAAACCTCACAAAGGAAACTGTGAGGAAGAGAAAAAAAACCCCATAATTTAATAAGCTACTGTTCTGTAAATACTTCATACACCGAGAAATCACAAGTACCAGGAATGTATTATAACCAATATCATAAAGATTTAAACCTTTGTTGTAACAGACAGCACTCCTATTAACCGAATTTACTTGCTACAGACTGTAAGGTAACAGTTGCTGAATGGAATGGAGGTTAATTCATTTCTGTTGGCTAAGTGTTGCCTTCAAGCACATTTGTATGCAGTGAGACACTCATCCCAGATATCCAGAGGTCTCTCACTCCCAACAAAGAAAGAAGCCTGCCTGTCTTTGAAATAGGACTGCTATAATGGTTTGCTGAACAGCCAAAAGCTAAAGTGGAAAATGTTCATCTAATTGCATTCATACTCAGTCCACATTTATTAGACTTATATGGTTTAGTCATTTACCCATACAACTGTTTTGAATCAAAACGAGGGCAAAAGCAAGAATAAAAGATCCTTTAAAAATACAGACATAAGCCAAACACAAAGATTGTCAAGATGCAGATATTAACTGTATATGGAGATCGGTTGTTTACTGCCAAGTATATATCAGACCATGGATTACTTTCAAAGATGATACAAGAAAGGACTGACACCAACATGTAAAAATTTAAAAATATATATATTTTCCATAATCTTAGATTGCAGACAATCATGAATTCTATGTTTGGAGGGTGAGTTTACATGTAATCTCTACTAGAGGTGCTTTTATTATTTAGTCAGCTTGATGCCAGCTGTCGTAGATGGGATGGTTGCATGTCTAATATGCTGACAATAAGTAACTGCAACAATATTTGGAATAAGCATGTTTATATACATTTACATGTGACAGAGCCATGACTTAAGTTCATGGGAAGAGGCTTGAAGTGAGGAGGAAGAGGATATCATTGTCTTTTTTCCTATGTGTTTTCACACACATAGTGAAAACACATAAATAAATCAATAAAACATAGGTACGACCCTTCATATCTTATGTCTGAAGTTGCAGCCATGAATTAAAATGTTCCTCCCTGCAACTTGAACACCTACAAGTTTTCTTCCCTTCCATCTTTGGCATGCTACATATGTCTCCAGCCACATACATAAAATGTGATTAGACAGAACATCCATGTCCATCTCCACAACTGTGGCTGGGCAACCTGATGGCTTACAGCTCTTATAGTGTTACTAGATTAATTCTTTATTTGTGAGAATGCATCAATTTGTTGGAAGACACAGTCACACCTTATTCAATGTATATTTATGAGTATAATTCTTTTTTAATGCCTGACTATATCTTTAATCCTTTTTTGATCATCCTGTATAGCAGGGATCAGGCACAGGGGGGATTGGGACTGCTGTTGAAGGTCACTCCAAGATAATATTAATACTGAGCAGATCTGAGATCAGTTTATTGGTGTGGCCCTCCACAACAGGTCCAGTTTCTCATGTGACCTCCTCAGTTAATTAATTGCCCACTCCTGCTACATAGCTATCTGTATGCTTATCTACCTTTCCATCCTCTTATCCACTTAATAATCTTGCATCAATCTATTATCCACCCATTTATCAAGCATCCAGCAGTCTAATGTTCTATATTCGATTCTTGTTCATTCATCCATCCATTTCAGTCTAGCTGGCATTTATCCCATCCCATCTATATACCACCTTTCATCATTCAGTCTAACAGTTATACTGTTTATAAATAACTGATGTTGTTGATGTCTTAAACCTGTGTTTTTTTCACAGCAGAGATTATGGGAAAATGATGCTTTTTTTTTTTAAATACAGTTTGATGTCAATTTTGTAAACTATGGATAGACTTATAGTAATACCGGTGATCAAGAAGGGCACAGTTTGCGGCCTGCAGCCTTCGCTGCCTCTTCTTCCCAGCTAGTGTTGTCATGGTCACTACTGTTCATCGTTCATATGCAGTCATGATTTATCCAGCTATCTATTCCTTAAACAATCCAATTATCAATTGGTCATCTTTAATCTACAGCCATATCCAACCAACCATTTACACACACTGAAAACACCTGTAAGTGGCATGTGATGAGCAGTGAGTTTGTGTTGTAGGGCAGCAATGTCATGTCAGTGTCTGTCTGTGTCTAATAACAACAATCCTCCAACCAATATTTTTCTTTTGTCTACCCCCACTCTCCTTCACTTCACCTTTTCACCTGCTAAAAATCAATGCCTCCTAATGGAGCCTGCAAATGCTCTTCTCCTCTTCTTGTTTATGATGAGAAATTATTACTGGACTCTGAAGAGCCCTGCCCCCTGTTGCTAGGAGACAAGGGGATCAGTGACTAAGGAAATGATGCTGCCTTGAAGACGTGATGCTCTTCTTTCTCCCAATCAGAGCAGCCGGAGCAGGGAAAACACAAGGAAAGACTGAAAATGTCAAATCACCCCAAACGTACTGCTCAGCTGCAAACCGAATGCCAGAAAAATAAAATATAGAAAGAGAACATTTGAACCACGCCGACTTTGAAAGGACCTGTATGTGTTTGTCAAATCCAGAGTTTTGGCTTCACTCTGCTCTTATAAAATCCAGTAAAGTATTGCATTTTATTTCATTTTTATTAATGAACGAGCAGATATAGATATAGATATCTACAGTATATATATATCAATTTGGCTTAAATGAATCATGCAGGAGAGGGTCGGGCCTTGTAAGTGTCTGTTCATGTCAATGGGAGTACATAAAGGTAAGCACAAGGCTGAATATCAGAACACTGCTGTCATATCAGTTGCTCTTTATTAACAGTAGCAGAGCCAAACAGGGCTTCTCCTGTTTCTGTTTGCATTGATGAAGCAGCTTCCTCTCCACTGTTACCATGTGTGGATGAGATGACGTGAGCGGTATCCATGGGGGCAGTGTGCGTGTGTGTGTTTGTGTGTGTATAAGTGCCAACACTGCATGTATTTTCAGCTTTGACATGTGCAGTAGGTGAGAGAAACACTGTTGCCATGGAAATGGGTCTGCTTCTCCACTGGTGTTTTGCTAGACCCTCTTTCACTCCCTCTCTCTCTCATTGCTCCATTTATTTTCTATTGCTTCCGTCCTCACTCTCCCTCAGTATATCACTCTCCTTCTACCCTTCTGGATTAAGGGGATCTGTTTCACTGATACTTATTTATACTATTTATACAGGTTCACCTTTAAAACATTTTTATGGGCACCTTATATTTTAAGACAATACTGTTGAAGTGCATTGCAGTGCATTACAAATATCAGTAATTGAAATAACACACAAGGGACATGACACCTTTTTATGAAGTTCAATAGCTCAGATTTTTCCAACTTTCTCTAAAAGGTTTTTCTCTTTTTGTTTCTGTAAAATAAAAAAATAAATCATTTCAAATATTTACATTAAGCAAGTGAATTTAATATAAATAAAGCAGAATCTAGCCATAATACAAAGCCTTGATTCTCCGTGTGTGGTAAATCTGTGTGTAGATGCTGCTTTTGTGTGTTTTTGCAGTCACTTAAATGTAACTGGCCATCCTATCTGACTCCACCCTGACATACGACATTTCAGCCATCCACACACAGCAAATGACTCCTAATCAAATCCATTCACCCTTACACTTGGGCATG